GAGGCTGCGGGGGGGGCCCGGACTCATCGGGTTAATTAACGAGCCAGTCCTGCACCCAAAGATGCTTGTAGAACAACACAGAGAATTATTATCCCTTTGCTTGCTGTTTTCGGTGTTATAACACTTACCTAATGTTATTTTTCTTCAATGAACATTCCAGTTGTCACTGTTTCTTTTCCTTCCCTTTCCTTTGTATTTTAACACAACTTGGTTTAGAGCAATTGGAGGTGGTGGGGGGTTTCTGCTCTCGCAACAGGCTGGATTTGCCCACTTTTCTTTCTGCAGTAAATAGTGGGGTTTTGGGGGTTACCCCAGAATGGACATTTATCAGTGCTGGCTTTCCATTTTAGGGAGGCCTTGGGCAAGAGGGTCTTGATGCCATCCACCCCTGTTCTAAGCCACCTTTTGCTCTTCACGATTTCTGACCTCATTTGTCAAAGTTTTCCTAGACTTCGTTTTATTTTTTATTTTTCTAGAAAAGAGACCAGAGCAATGTACATATAAGACATGGCAGGGAATCCATATATGATATGCACAGAAGGCCCAAGAGATGTTCAAAAGCAATTTTAGCAGTTTACTATCATCAATATGAACCTAATGATAATAACTATGGGATGGGTTGGAGTCTGAGGGGAACAGCCCCCTTTCCTCACGATCGGACTTCCTGAAAGACGCAAATGGGCACAAGACGTCAGAGTGCTCGTTTGTGAGCTTTGAGCTCAATCCCGTTACCAGCAGAATTTTTATTATTTATTTATTATCATTTCTTTGATTTATATACTGCCCATCTGGCAGCCAGGGCCACTCTGAGTGGTTTACAACAAATGGAAATGGGATTTGAACCGTTTACAACAAATGGAAATGGGATTTGAAAGGTGTAAAAGGAAGCTTGATTCTCCCCGCACACACTCATGTTTTTTTACTTATTTAAACTCCTCTGCCAGGGGCCATTTGTTTTACTATAGCGCTGTTTTAGGAATCCACTTGCCCATTGTGCATTCCACTGTCTCCATGTGTGTGCATGTGCATGTGTGTGCACGCACATGTGTGTGTCTGGCTTCAAAATTGCTTCCTGGAAGGAAGAGGCCAGATGGCCACACCGCCCATTTCTCCTGCCTACCCATCTTTAATTTATCTGGGATCTGGGAACCCAGGAGCACGAGGGTGGGGGAGCTTCTCATTTTCTTTCTTTCTTCCTCCTCCTCACCCTTCTTCTCCTTTCTTCTTTTCCTCAAAGATTTCTTCCTTTCTGCGCAATCACATGGGCAACAAAACAGAAATCTGAAAGACACCACAAACCAACAGGCAAGGCATCGGAAAAGCAAACACAATAAAAAATCAAACACAATACAATGCAATACAATGCAATGCCCATTTTATACAAAGAGAAGTTGACTTGGAAGCCTTGAAGATGTCCTTCCTGGAAGCCTGCTCAGTACCTCTTGTTGACCTGACAAAAAGCTGTATTTAAACTGTCACCTGCCTGAGAACATGGCAGAGCACACAATGGTTTTGCTTGTGAATTGGAGACGATCTTTCCTCTTTTCCAATATGGTGCCAGCTGTTGGGATTAGAACAGAGGGAAGTAAATTTTATTTTATTAAATAAAAATAAAATTAAAAAAAAGTACTCATTCCTCCCCGAGGAATCTACCCTAGAAATGCTCAATGAGCTTCAATGGACATGGGCTCACCAGCCAAACAACCTCTCGGTGCTGCTGTTTTTGAGCAGGAGGGCACCATTTTGTGTCCTTCTCTCTTGCCTGACAGGACCCGCCTGCCCAAAATGGCTTCCATTCTTGGCACTCAAGAATGAGCTGCTTTGCCCTCACAATTTTGATCTCCTCAGAGCAGAATGAGCTCTGCTTTAGGTGAGGTTAGCCAATGCAGAGCCAAAAATGAAAGCCATGACAACTTGGTAGTGAAAAATGCCATGTGTCAGTGAGATGCATGAGGTTAGCCAATGAGAGCCAAAATTGAAAGCCACGACAACTTGGCAGTGAAAAATGCCATGTGTCAGTGAGATGCCATCTTAACTCCCCATACCGCTTCACCCAGCAAGCAAACTTCTTCTCTGGATGAAGAAGCTGCGTGAAAGGAAGTGGTGGGCATCTCCGCCATATTTCCTGCAGCAGGAGAAGGAGCTGGTGGCTCTGGCTGGGGGCACTTCCTCACCTCCCACAACCACCCATCAATCACTGTAATTCTCATTTTGCACGCTTGTGCCTGTGAGCTTGGAAAGGAAACCCAGCTGAAGGATTCCCTTCTCTGGCATAGGCTCAGGCTTCTTCCTTGAACATCAACAGGCCCATCTTGTTCTTTCTTTTTAACACTTTTGAACACAACAGCAATACCCCTTTTAATGGCCAGTTGAGCCCTTGCTTTCTGCTTCAGGCCAACATGGGCAACAGGGGCTTGCTGAGGATGGAGCAATGCCTGGCCAGAGCGAACTGAGTTTGACTACATCCCAGTCTCACAACCGCCCTGTGAGGAAGGCTTAGTTCAGGCATGAGGTGGAAAAAGCCTCCCCACTCCGCCATGAAACATTGTAGCTGAGGGGGGATTTGAACCCAGAATTGTTGCATCTAAACACTGTCTACCGGATGTTGCTAAAGGCACCCAAATTCCAACTGGGGTTTCTTTCCCAAGAGGGCTTTTGCCCCATTTTCAGGATTTCAATTTTTACCACAGATACATATCTGTATCAGCCTACAAATGTCTTCTGTGAGCCTCAGTTGAGGCTGGATGGTATTCTTTCTTACAAACTCTTTTGATTTTTTTAAAAAAATTATACAAATTTCAAAAGTTTTGTCAATTTTTTTACCTCAATGTCAGAGCTGTATAAATTCAATTTAGACAGAATCAATAGAGAAAATTAAGTGGGGAGAATGGAGATCTTGGAGAATAAAGAGGGGAAAGCTCTTCTCTCCTTCGTGTTCTCTGTCCACAACCTGAAATGTCTCCTGGATGTCTGACAGAGCCACTGACAGTTTTATTCTCCGTGACCTTTTGCATCAGAAGGTTTGTGAGAAATCAGACAAGGAGGAGGGCTTGAGCTAGTCACGAAGGGGCTTTCACGCACACATTCTTCGTTTGGAAAATCAAGCACAAATTGGTGCACTGTTTGCAGAGTTTTTTCGGGGTAGGGGTGGCAAGGCTGTGTACCCCTTGTTTCCAACTCAAAAACATAGGATGAACCTCTTCAGATCTCATCACTGGATCCTACACCTATGCCTGAAGATCAGGCCCAGATCTATGGCTGTGTCTCTTTTAGTCTGAAATTTCCTCCATACTTTTCTTGTCCATTCCAATATATAAATTAGCTTCCCACTCCCTCTAGAAAGGGCCCCCGAAATGCCCTTTGCTCTGCATCAGAGGCGCTTGTGATGGTGCAGGTTCACACTCTGGTGTCCAAAGAGGTCAAGGGAAGGGTTGGTGTTTTGTTGTTGTTTTGCTTTTACCTGATTCCCCCCCGCCCAAAAAAAAAGGCAAAATGAAGCAATCTGGTCCTGAAGCAGGAATTTAAAAGGGCCCATTGCCCAACAGTCCTAGCTAGGAATTCTCCAGGAAAACAGAAGAATAGCCTTTTTTCCTATCAGCTGAGCAGACATTTTGCAAAGTAGGGAAATGCACCAATGCAGAAACAACCCCTGTTGAATCTCTACCCACATCAACACCTATCGGGTCCCTCAGCCCTGTACAGAGGAGGCTGGCCCGGTTTCAGAACCAGGAACAAGCTTCACACCCCACAGGGAACAAGGCTAGCCGAAGCTCTTCTGGGTGTATCCTTCGGCTCCAGTCTTGTGTCCCAGGGAAACCTCAGGCTGCAGAAAGAGAAGAGAAGGGGGGCCTCCCCATTCCTGTCATCAGGGGCCTGAGGGCAGGGTTGGCCCATCTCCCTGCCTTCCCACGGAGCCAGGACACCCCAGCCACTGCTACGCGTGGCCTCATGGACATTTCCCCCCTTCCTGGTGAAAAAAACCAAAATGACAATAATACTCATTTTTATAGACTTTTTAAATTAGGGAACAAAAACCAATCTGTACTCATACTTTACTTTTAATAATGCAGAAGAGTTTGCTAAATTTCGTTGTCAAACATGTTGCTGAATTCCAAGGTAGTTGCAGAAATTCCAATTCTGCAGGTAGGCAAACAGGATGAGCCTTGTCTTTATCTTAAATCCTTTCTGGCCATGAATTTCCCAGGGGTCGCTAATACTAACTCTATTTTTCTATGATTCTCCCTGCCCTGGGACAGGATAAACGACCTTCGGTGGCTTCCAGGAAATCATACATGAATGGCTGGACGGCTCTTCTCCAGCGCTCTTTTCTGCTGCAGGCTTTCCTCACTGCCCAGCGTTCACACCCATACACAGGAACTGAGAATACAAGCGTCTGGAGGATTTTGGCCTTCATCTCCAGCAACACATCCTCACACTTGAGGCTCTTTTCTAGTTCCTTCACAGCTGCCCTTCTGAATCTCTGGCTTCTTTTGATTTCTGGATTATAGTCTGCAATATTTATTTATCATTTATTGCTTTATTTATAAGCCACCTTCCTCCCTAAAGCAGTTCACAACACTTAAAATCACACAATAACAATTTAAAAATTCTGTAGAAAACTATAAACATTAGTCAAGATTTAAAAACCATTTTGAAGACATTTAAAAAAAAACCTTATCTCTGGCTTCTTTTGATTTCTGGATTATAGTCTGCAATATTTATTTATCATTTATTGCTTTATTTATAAGCCACCTTCCTCCCTAAAGCAGTTCACAACACTTAAAATCACACAATAACAATTTAAAAATTC